TATATATATATATATATATAACAAAAAGGCTTAAATTCACTTTGATTTTAGTTTTCAGATATTTTATTATAAATTTGATTCCTTAATTTTTAAGATTAAACAATATTGATTCACCATTAATATATCATCTAAAATAAAATGTCAGCTTTCATGTAAAAAAAATGATATTACTTTTTATTACAAATATGTTAAGTTTCTTCCTTATTTCAATTAAAAGTTTATAATCTACAAAAATAACTTTATTTTAATTTTCAAAATTATTTTTCTACCTAACTAACTACACAAATTAGTATTTTATATTTTTATATTTAATTTTAAATAACATGTTAGCATAGACCAATATTGTTTAAATTTAAATATTAGAAAATACGTAGTAGTAGTAGTAGTTTCCAATCAAAATAACAAGTTCACATCAGTAATCTCTTAATTTTTAATGCAAATCTATGTAAAAATAAAGCTTTAATTTTAACAATAAAATACTAAAATCATTTATAAATTTGTACCTTTTTTTTCTTTTATAAATGCTGACAATGCCAATAGATTATGAGTTAATCACCTACACTATTACACTAGCAATCAATTATATCCCTTAATTATACCATATCACTGTAAACATATTTACTTTTAATAATAACATGACACAATTAAGAGATATAATTGGTTGAAAACTCTAAATCTAAATCATACAGTGAAATGAGTAAAATTAAATATTATTTATTAATTACATGACTATTTAATAATGTCATGTGCATTACTTTTAAATTTTAACAATTATTTAAATATAATTTAACAATCAATATTTACAATTCTCATTTTATTCATACATATTAAATGTGAGCGATAATTTTTTTAATATCAACAAAAATATTCTTAAGTGTTTTTAAATTTCTTATTTAATCCAATTTTTTATTTATCATACTTATTTATGAATTAAAATTTAATATTTTTAAAATAAATTATCAATAATTAAAGATAATTTTGTCTGTCAACCTAACATCATTAGAGTTATCGTCACCTATACCCTCGATACACATCTATCAATAGAGTTTTGTTTTACAACAAATGTTAATTAATTATTAACTATTATGTTATTGAAAGAATTCAATCTACAGCCTCTTTATCACTCCATACCACCGGATAACTTTGTAACTCAACATTCAGCAACCATCTACCAATAGAATGGTACGGCTTTTAACAGTTTTACATTTGCGTGTAATTTATAATTATAGCTTTCATAAGAAAATTGAATATGTATACAAAATACACAACATCGGATAACATATCAGCCTTCGTGTTTATTACTACTATAAGCAAATAGAGTTTATTAAATATTAAAGAAATAAATTTATCCCTACCTTAGGAGTTCATTTCATTTTCTTTTCCACACCAAAGCCTTATAAATTCCTAGGCTGTGTGTAACCCAAACGACCGAGACAATTCGAGGTCTGAGATTGCTGCTTTCCCAGCCGGTCCAGGGTCTCCATATGCCCAGTTCAATACAAAAGCCCAATCTTTTCAAATCACATAAGGCCTTCGATGTTGTTGGGCATGTCTTTTCACCCTTTCTAAGGTCAAAGCTTTTTGCTAAAAACCATTGAACTTTCGAATACCGATATGCACCTTAAAATCAGCCTCTTTGTAAGTTTAATCAACACTCAACCCAATATTTCAACTTAAAAAAAACAATTGGACGCAATTTTCCTAATAAATTGGAACATCCCTTGATCCATTACTATCTGAGCTTGTAGAAAAATGAAACTAACAACTTAAAGATAGTTCCAATAAAATGGTCATCTGCATTCTATGCTATCGATTTAAAATAACATGAACTCAACTACAGAATGGCACAGAGAAGTTAAAGCCAAGAACACAGTCAGCCTAGTTTTATGCATGTAGAGAAGGCATTTGATCTACTCAAGACAGCATAGATTTTGCCGCATAACTTTTTTAATTATTTTCTTTCAAATAAATATGGAAACTTTTTTTTAATTATTATTTCTAGTAGTATAATGAAATCCTCTAATGCTAAAGGAAAAAATTTTCTGCAGCTTGATTCTCTTTTTTAACTTCCCTAAGCTGTACAGAAAATATATCAATCCAACCTTGAATGGAGAAATAACTTGCTCTCTTAATTACCGTGAAAATCAAATGGTTTGTACCTATAACATAACGCAAACTAAAACCATGCTGATCATTAGATCAACAGCAATCTATATAGGAAAATTTTGGATAGCTGCCTTAGTTGCGGCCTCTTTAGGAGTTGCCTTAATTGCAGCCTCAAGGGGAAGTTTAGTCCCAAAATAGAATATATATATATATATATATATATAAGTGGGGACCTCCTCACTTCTTGAGCTAGAGTTTGGTGTTGAGCTAAGCCCAAAACCCAAAATTTGAAGAGAAACAACTAATAACCTAAAAGCTAATCAAAGATGAAAAAAAATGCATTTCAACAAAGGAAGGTGAAAAAAATCCATGAAGCAATGATATGTGATAGTAAAAGCAGAACAAAAATACAGAAACAAACCAAATAACATCTACTGTTAAAAATATTAAAGAAGGATAACAGAAGGATTTGCATGAAATTATTTTACAGATGCATGAAACCTCTACTGATGAGAATCCATAACTAAACATGACAAATTTCTAAACTACATGTTTATGACACATAAAAAGGTATCTTCACAAATTAAAACCAGTAAGATCAAGTGACTAGCTCTTACAACATCTAGCAAAAGAATGCCAACCTTTCACAGCCCTGAAGCAGTCAGTAAGTATTTACCTACATGAATTAAGGCCCGAAGACCCTTTTAGTCAATCAACTAGAAATTTCACCATTGCTTCCTTTGAAACTTGCAGAGTCGACAACATCCTGCTTTACACCATGAGGTGATGTCACATTGCCTGGAACAAATCCGTTGGCATTAAAAGGTTGATCAAATTTCCAATTTGTTGCAGACCCAAGAATGCCACTGTAACCCAAAGACCCAGGACCGTTACCTACTATGCCAATCCTACCCCCCACAAACGCAACATTTGGAACTGCACTAGCATAAGGCACATGACATGCCTGAGGACCAGTTATCATTGGCCCATACCAGTAGTTCCGAGAAGCATCAGACGGAACCGCATATCCATTTTCCCCATACCCACCCATAGGGTACCAGCAACCATACGTGTTAGACCCGTATCCATATACTCCATCACCACTATACCAAGGCAAAGGTGCATACCCTGGGAGCATGTTCCTATGACTATAAGGAGGAAAACCTTTAGGGGCGCCTCTTTCACCCGTATTTCTTAATTTACTAAAACCATCATAGCCGCCATGGTTCCCCTCTTTCGGAATAGCCCTCTTCACCTCCACCTGTCTACCATTCAAGTCATGGAAACTCTTGACCATAACGTTTTGAACCGATTCCTCGGAATCAAAAGTGATGAACCCAAACCCCCTGGGCCGGTGAGTTACACTGTCCTGCATCACCACCACATCAGTTATTCGACCAAACCTCTCAAAGTAGTTTTTAAACTCCTCCTCAGATATACCAGCGGGTAAACCTCCTACAAAAATCTTTTTAGTCCTAACAATGTTGTCACTGCTACAGTCATTACTACTACTATAATTAGCGCCTCCTCTAATCTGTAATTGGTTATGGTGTTGCTGTTGTTCACTTCTGGGAATCGCTTTTTTCACTTCTACCTATATAAGCAAACAGAACTAACCATAAATCAAACAAATTAACACGTACAATAATTTAGCACGGTTTCAGCGTTGAAAATCGTAAACGTGCGACATTGGAACTCGAAAGAGATAAAGTAACCAACCGTTCTTCCGAGAATGACATGCGTGTCTTGAAGTGCTTTATCGGCTGCGGAGAGATCGGAGAAGGTGACGAAGCCGAAACCTCTAGGGCATCGGGTGGTGCGGTCTACGGAGATTGTGGAATCCAAAACGACGCCGTACTTGGCGAAGTGGAATTTCAGAACATCTTCGGTGGTGTCCCGAGAAATGCCCCCTACGAACAGTTTCGCTCTATCGGAATCCATCTTCGAATTCATTATACTGTACACAATCCCTAAATCCCCAATTCAATCACAAAAACCCTTCTCTCCCTCTTTCCTTTTCTCGCTCTAACAGTAAGATATTAAAACAGTAAAACTAAACCCCTCTGCCTCTGTCATTCTCCATTAAATGGGTTTCTCTTATGGGCCCAGATTGCCCAACCTCAATTTACTGGCCCAAACTACACCGGAGGGAACAATAACAAATTCAAAAAAGTCTATCACAAACTCCTTATCTGTCTGAAATTCTTTTGTAATTTCTAACAAACACCTTATCTTTTTATTTTAATCTTAAATATTATATATTGACATAATTATTTGCTTTTTAAACTGTTACATAATTGTCTAACAAAAACATCTCATTTTCTTCACTCCTATACCTATTCATTCTTATTTTAATATTTTATTCTTATCCAGGAGGAACTTAACTTTTCAACTGTACAAACATTTTTATATTTTTTATATCAAGTGGATGATCTGACAAATAATAATTGAATATCAAAATGGAATATATATTTTATCATTAAAATTGAAATATTATCTTTTTAATTTTTTATATTTATTTATTTCAACATTTTTAAATATCTTATTTCTGTAAATATATCAGTTTTATATTTATTTCAATATTTTTTTAACTTCTTATCTCGTTGAATATATAATTTTGTATTTATTTTAATATTTTTAAAAGATTAAAAATATTTTTCTATCATAATATAAATTAGTTATGATAACTATAAAATATAATTTATATGTTTAAAATTATTTATTTATTATAAATTTTAATTATAATCCAATATATGATAAAAAAAAATTATTTAGTACAATTTAGTTAAATAAAAAATAATTTTCCCTTGCATTGTGTAAGCTAGAATCTTAATTTAAAATGCTTATATTTTTTTACACCAATAATTATAATATGTTAATAACAATATAGTTAGAAACACTAGGATAAACAATAAATATATATATATATATATATATATATATATATATATATATTGGGGTGAGATTTTAAAAGACTATTTTTGTATATAAATGAAAAAGAAAGGTCTTTTTAATTTTTAAAAAATTATATAAAAACACAATGACTTGTAAGATTTTTTTTTTCAAGACTTTTATCATCAAGATTATGCAATTCAAATTTTAATTGATTTATGTATAAAAAAATTGAGACTTAAAAAGATTCCATATATTTATAGTAAATATTCAAAGTTATAAGAGTCAAAGAATGATCAAATTTAGAAAGAGAATACTAATATAATTTAAAGTAGATAATCTTTTGAATTTTTTTTCTTATCAATTGAATATAAAACTCCACTTCCATTATAGGATGAATAGCCACCACAAAATGAATTTTAAATTTGCAGGAGATATATTTTTGTTTTTGAGCAATATAATAATAAAATATTATTAAATTTAAGATATTTGTGTACAATAATGTCAACATTTCACATAAAGTTGTATAAATATTTTGTATGATAATATATTTAAGTATATATTTATGAAATTCACGGAAACAACAATGTGACAACAATATATATTACTTCTAATTGCATTTTTCAAATAATTACTTCTTAAAGATGATTGCAATTTTACTTAAATTTTATTGTTTACGAAATAATAGATCGTCCACTTTAAGGATGGATGCACGGCCATACAGTGGGACAATTACCCCACTAAAATTTTATATAAATTATATATATATATATATATATTCTGTTATCTTACTATATTTAATATTATAATATATTACGGTTTCATTTACTTTTTATTTTATTAAGTAATTATATCTATTTTATGGTAAAATTGTCTTTAATTTTTTATTACAA